AACAATTTGTAAACCAAGCATCATAAATATTAACCTTTTTTATGAATATTTGCATTATTTTGTTTACAAATTTATTACTATTATTAATTCAAGAGCAATAATTCAGTATATTATTTTCTTCAATGCATTTTTCTTTTATCTTCTATGACATTTAATTTTATGATTTTGAATTCTTAACAATTTGATTTGTGTATAAACTTTTCACATTAAATGAACTTTTTCTACAAATTTCATTTATCTTTAATAATAAATAAAAATATTGATATTTATCATTTAAACTAGTAGTACAGAATGTTAAAGTAAAACATAAATCTAAAAATGTGCAATTTATTCTATTTTATAAGATTATACATAATTTTCATATATTTATAGTGGAAAAAATAAATTATTGTATTGATAATGATATATCAGAAAATATTTTAACTTTATTACGAAAATTTTCAGTTGTAAAATGATAAGTGAATTTAGCAGATGGTAAAAATTTTTTATTTGTTAAATTAATCTGTAAGTTGGTCTAAAAAAACTAGTTCAATAAATAATGAAAGCAGATGTCACACAGAAAATAAAAGCTAGTTAAAGATTTCAAAACATTATTAATTAATGGAGACAGAAAAAAAAATAAACAAACAGCAATTACTACCATACTAAAATTTAAATTTTAAAGAAAATTCACTGATCAAAAGCAAATATTTCATATTTTTTATGTAATTTTAAACTATGAATTTAATAATATGCAATTGGTTAAATTTTGCAAGATTATAATATTAGCATTTATAGGAGAAAATGACCATGAACTAAATCTAAAACAACAACTCATATTCCATTAACAATTTAAATTAAAATATTTTTATTAAAATTAAACANGCCTATATATAATAAATCAAGAACTAAAGTTAATTATACAAAAGTTGGGTTTTTTAAAAAAAACTTTAAAATCGATTAAACGAATATTAATCGATTAATGAAATGTTTTATAGGTTACTGTATTTTTGTTATTTAATTATTATTAAGTCGTCACAAAGTTTTAATTTTTTTTTTTCAAAATATTAGCTCTGTATTTTCCATTTCCAAATAATACTTATCTGGATCTAGTTTTTCTACCGACCTTCAAATAACGACTTATTCTATTTCGGGATTTAAATTCGATCATTTACCAGTATTCATAAAAATTGCCCTTCGTCCGACCATTCCAAATTCAATAATAATATATTTATTAACATCATACTCGGTACTCTGATTTCCTATCGACTGGAAACAATTATTCCATTATTTGTATTCCTACCATGAAACATTCTTAAGGAAAAATCTAATACCAATGGAAAAAATTTCGTTTTCTTAACTTCTGTTGATAGAAATCTCCCGTATATTAACTTCGATATTTCCCGCAATGAATGCTTTCCCGTATCTTTTAAATTTACGCAATCTTTTTCGTAAATTTCGGAATAAATGGGGAAAAAATCTGGAAACTTAAATCTAATTTAAGAATGCACTTTTTATTTTCCGAAATTAAAAATGTCATTAATAACTTAAATACTTCTTTCTAATCGAAGCACGGATAAAACCCCAGCTATTTTCTATAAAAACACTAATTCCGTAGCAGCCTCTGTGTTTTTCTTTATTTTCTCCGATATTCCTCGATATAGTTTTATCCCGTTTCGGTGGTCGATGCCTTCATTAACGTCTATTCCAAAAAAGGAGCCAAATATTTTCGGGCCAATAGCTGTATCAATCGCAATGCTAAAAATCTTTCAGCTGCGTATATTTCGTTATATCCAAAAACTGGTCGTCTCGAGATCATCACCCATCCGACATTGCGGTCCACAAATAATTCATTGCAAGCACGGGCAATCGTACTAAATCGTACAGAAGAAAATTCGTTCGTGGGAACTGTTCTAGCAATAACAAGACGTCGAATAATGATACACTCCCACGAATTTCGGTTGGCACGCGCACTTAAAAAGGTTGCCTTCCCTGCCTTCCCTGCCCTTCTTAATGAAATTATGAGTCGGTAGTTCCTATCTTCATTATTCATCTATTTGTTGCTTAATACGGAATACCTCTAGTTAAGGGAACGAGAGGTATCTCAAATTAAAGCACGGACGTGCCGCGATTTAAATTATTCTTAGGCCTAAACGTTCAAGAAATTTCGCTAAAGTTATGCGCCTTAAAATGTCTTCATACAAAATTTACTTACTGCCAGCGGGGTCGCATTGGCCCCTAGGGTATTTCGGGCACCTTCCGGCACTTCGATCTTTCATCTCACTACGACTGACAGCCCGACCTTGATAGGATAGGCGGTAGGTAGCCCTATTTTGCATATTTTTATAAAACAGTATTAGTTTTTTTTACATCTTCCGGGACGCAGGATTCCAGAGCTCTTGCTTAATATTGTAGTTAAAACAGTCCTGATCGTGAGATGTATTTGCTAGATTTCCTCAAAAGGACACAGAACCAATTTACGTTTATTTCTAAGAAACCATTTTAGTTAGATGTAGGGAAAAGATATTTATCATAATACAGTACTTAAATGTTTTTGGTTAACTTAGCAACATCACCGTTAGATGGCGGTGGTTTACAAACGTAGCTAGAAAAGAAGCGCCGTAACGGGGACTTTATATATCTTTTAAATATTTTTGAATACGATCTTGTTTAAAGTTTGTGAAGCAGCCATAGATTTTTACATTAAAATTTTTCATTTTTAGCTTAGAAGAAAGCTATGTTAAAGTGTTGTACTATTTTTATTTAGTTTATCATAATTATTAATTACAGAACTTTTTCAATTTTAACATTACTGTACTTTGTAATGCTAAAATTTTAAATAAAATTTTTTTATTTAATTCTAAATTAAAATAAATTTAAAATAATGCAGATTTTGCACAACGGCTGTTAGAAATTTAATTTATAAAACCAATGGATTACCGAAAATAATTTATTAATTTCGGTAATTTATTTTGTTTATATTAAGATTATTGCGATAAATTAATTACAAAACTTCGGCAATTTACAATCTTTCCTGTTTTGATTATTGCGTGAATATTTGATAATTCTTTTTTAAATGCAACCTTCCACTATCATTCGTTAAATACTCAGAAATTCGGCCTTGCTATATTAAAATCATGGGAAGGCGCATCTCAAATTTCTAAATGCCATTCTAAACTTCTTAATAACGTTTTGAAGTAACCTCCCGACATTCTGAATTCGAAACTTATCATAAACATTCTAGATTTCTTCTATATACTACGAATCGTGTGCTATTAATCCTCTATTTATTATTAGTATTTGACCACAAGAAAGAGATCGAAAGAGACTACAATAAGCTAGCGCTTAAAAAAATTGACTTCGATTCCTAAAAAAGTGGAAAAAAATAAATGTTTTAAAGACCGATAAAACTAATTATATTTCTATTAACGCTTCGTCATTTAAATTAGTAAAAGAATGTATTTTCTTTTACTGTTATTATACAGATTTGTCTGGCATCGCTTTATCAATCTTGCTTATTAAATTGTTTCTCGTTTCTTTTTGATTGTTCGTGTAAATGAAAATATATTAGCGTAATATATTTAATTTTTTATTTGGTACGTTATTTTAACGAACCCATGATTGTGGCATAGCGGATATTGTGAATTGTATTTGATTTGTATGGACTTGGCAATAATAAGCCATAAACTGATCCATTTTCCTTCTGAAGCTTAAAATATAATGGAAATTTTTTCCGTAAACCTGATTTTCATACAGTACGTATCTTGCGGTACTTTATGAATCGATTAGGCTAATTCCTTCGGTATAAGAACTGCGTGCTCTGTTAAGAAGGGTGCATAAAAACCTTCAAGTATTACCTTTTGCTTAAGTAAAGTTGTTCTTGTGCAGTGGCGTGTTTTATCTTCGTGGAGCACATGCGATTTTGAATTAGGGGCCCCACGTAACGTACAGTGTTTGTTAAATTTTTCTTCCGGGAATTTTTTGGGAAATATTTTTCTATAAAAGCTGGGTTTGGACTCCCTGTCGGTGGTGGCCTCGGGCGATTGCCCTTTTTGCCTGCAGGATAACGCACCACCTTCTCGTAGTTTGTTTCTCGGTTCTCGGCTTAACGTTCGTACAGACATCCTAACAGTACTAGATACGATTCTTATTAAAGTTCTACGGTTACCTCGTAGATCTAACCGTATATAATGAACTTATTCCGATTGTCTCAAATTGCTTTTATCACGCAAAACATTAATTTGGATCATTAGCAATTTAAAAATGGCGTAATTTTTATCGATGTTTACTTTAGTTTCATTCGGAAATATTCGAGCGTATTTATTTATTTATTTATACGAAAAAATTTACCGTCGTCGTCGGGTCTAACAATCCTGTCCAATCAATTATATTTTCGCCATAATTTTCAAATAATTTAATGATGACGATTAAGGGTATTCAATTTACGCGAACGATTTCGGCCCAAATTCGAAACTAAATATCACCGTTTTCCTTATTCGCAGACAATTAATAAATCGTTAATATGTAGAAAAAACATTTGGACTAATTATTTCGTTAAATTAATAATTTTAAACAACGTCGATTAAATTTAATTGCCGTCGAAATAGTAAAAACAAATAAAACACGCGAATTTTTTTGCTTTGGAAAACACGCGTTGGTTTATTTATTTTTTCATTAATAATAATAAAAGTATTTTTACTACTTTACGAAACAAATAAATTTCCATTTTTAATAGGAATAAATATTAAAAAAATTCTAAAAATAAACACGAAAACTATATCTTAAATTACGAGAAGTCCGGACAACGGGCTAGCTTAATTAAACGGTGAGGTAAAAACAATTAAATAATGTATAAAATACGCTTTGTATTTATTTACACTGTTTTTCTAAACTCAAAGGACATAAATATTTGTAATAATATGAAAAAATTCTATAAAATTTCCCGTAACCATTAAGGAAAGGCATCACCTCGGTCACGTGAACAACCGGTAGGAGATGATGTTTATACCCAGAATGCACTGTGGACGTATGTTTCACTCGCCATCGTCAAAGCAGAGAGGAAGGATGAATTTCTGCTTAGTCCATACGGATTCGTTGTCCGTGCCCGCAGAAAGGAAATTCAGTTGGTAAATTCACTTTTATTCTTTAATACGTATTCCGAATTTATTAACTTTAGTCGTAATTATCATCGTTAAGAGTTTCAGGAAGAGGTCAACGTAATTGACGAGTAAAATTTTATCGATAATGATTTTTTTCTTGTCTACCGTAAAGACTTTTTCCTATAACAAATAACTTGAAATTATTTACTTGGAATTTTTTCTTTTCTACATCGGTTTACATCGAATTAATTTCGGATTGGTCAATCCTTTTAAAAGCCGCGATCTAGACATTATTACGACGGTTTGGGGTTGATCGTTTCTTTTTTTGTGGTGATTATGGTTATTATTAATATTTTAAGCATACGGAATTAATCCTGAAGTTTTCTTCTTCCGACCGATTGATGCTAAATGCTACGAACTAAGATTTAGGTCATGCCGTACAAAAGGAAATAGTCTTAAAAACTAACGTTGTAGGCCAAATTCGATATTGCTAACCTTAATTAATTTTAAGACTTATTAAGGACTAAGTAAATAAATCTAAAACACCAAGTATTTTTACGTACTATGGAAATCCAACTTTGATGTCGGGCGACGTAAACCACTGGCGCGTTGGCGCCGCGCTCCCATTGATGCCACGATAAAAACACGCCGCGCCGCTCCGCTTTCGTCGCCGGCCGTGCGCTGGCGCTTTCGTCGCCACCATTTTGAACATTTTTATAAATTTCTTCGGGGTTAGGTCGTCTGATCGGCAAATTATCTTCGTGTCGACGGAATCCGAGACGCACGGAGCCCCAAAATATCTATAAAAGCTCTCGTGAAAGTTTCGCTTATGAAAAGCATCTCTAAATCGCCATTAGTTTTTTTTTTGTAATAGTCTATACTGTTTTAAGTTCGTTTTAATATTTGTTTTGTTTATTTAATTACACATTTTTAGTTCTTAAAATTATCTTTTCTTCTATTTGGCAACTTTTGACCGATGACAGAATGAAATTTATTCGATCCGTCCGTCAATCACCGTCAAACAAAAATTGCCGAAATACGGGAGAGGATAATTTAATTGTTTCCACGTTCGAGTTTTTTTTCGTAATAATTTTGATAAATTTAATGCATCTTCCTCGCGTCCAAATAACTCGATTATAGAAGCGAGGAAGATACTGTATTCGGTCATCTTTAATTAAATAAAATATATATTCCGAAAGCTCGTACTGGTGCTTCTTCGTTATCCGTTTTAAATTATCCCGCTAATTAGTTCAAGCAAAAAAAAAATCCTAAAAGTTATCGCGTGCTTTGTAATTTCGATTGAAAATAATTACATTTATTTCATTAATACTGTATGTTAATTAATATAAAATTAATTTATTTAATTGAGCGTTAATTATAACTCGTTCCGTCCGTGCCAAAAACCCCATCTTCGACTAAAAGGGATCGGAATGAAAAACGTTGCCCTTTTTTACACACTCCTGTTAATGGGCTTATGTTATCGAACGGCATTTGCGTTAAAGGGCCGAAACGTATTTTGATAAAGGGCGTTTTTAACGGAGCGGAGAGCGCAGAGACTTTGCCTTAACATTCGAGTTATTAATTAAATCCGAAGGGCTCGTTACCGCAGATTTTTTTTTTTTTTTTAATACCGTGATGACGAAACGTCGATGTCTCTTTTCCAAAGCACCACGACCATCTAAAATTACTTTACTTCGTTTAGATTTTCGATAACTTAATTATTCTAAATTATTATAATACATTAATGGGGAAAAATCGTTTATTTCTAAGAGTTGGCGCGCCAATCTTAATGTTTCGCGGTCCTCCGTTCGATTAGCCGAAATATTTGTTAATTTTGACTAAAAGAAAATAATAAAAAGTAAAACATCTGGATACGAGTCCAATTTTTCTTGCCATGTCTAATCACCAGGAACAACTATTTGCATTGCAGAGACAACCTTTCTTTAGAGGCTATGCCTCTGCACAAATATGTAAAACAGTTTAAAATGTCCACAGGTGACAATCCCAACACAATTTTATTAAATTGTAATTCTGCCAACCCTTTTCTACAAACAAATATTATATTTTTAATTGTGTTGGGATTGTCACCTGTGGACATTTTAAACTGTTTTACATATTTGTGCAGAGGCATAGCCTCTAAGAAAGGTTGTCTCTGCAATGGAAATAGTTGTTCCTGGTGATTAGACATGGCAAGTAAACTTGGACTCGTATCCAGATGAATTTTATGTTTTTATTAAATTGTAATTCTGCCAGCCCTTTTCTACAAATAAAAGAAAATAATTAAGTTAATTGTATGTTTATAAACAACTTAGAAATGTCCCGTGTCGCAACTAGATTTTTTTTTCTAGCGAACTTTTACGAACGATGGTGTGGATCGAAGGACGTCGGAAAGAAATGATGCAAGTTTTAAGAATCGAGGTTTCGAGTTCCTTGACTGATCGGTTTGTGTAATCGAGTAGCTTTGCCTATCGCATTTTTGGAAACTAAACCAACGCCTTTGTAAATAAATAGCGACATCTTTACAAAAGCGTGAGAATGTACTCTTCGACTAAAAGGACCCTAATCGACCGGCCTTTCCGTGGCCAAAACGAACAGTGCGATTTCCTCCCGGTATTCGTTTATTCGAATGGATGGTGCCGCCGCGTTCGGCCATACAAAAAATCTTTGTCGAAGTAAATGGTTGCACGATGGCGAGATTTATTTAATTAAATTTTGATAGTGTCGTGTCAAGGCAATTTACTTTAAAGTCATTGACTTTTAATGCAGAAAGTTAAATTTGTAGGTGTACAAAATTTTTTAAATGTTTCTACAGTTATGTAGTGATGGCCTTGGTCGAGTTATTTAAGTGTTTTTTTTTTTAATTCACTGATAAAATTAAATAACGACGACAAACAATAAAAATCGAAATTAAAAAATAATTTGTTTTTATTAAATTGCGTTCAAATTTTGATTTTTTTTTCTTAAACTTAAGATTAGTAATATTTTATAAAACATTATAGAAAAGAATCTTAGAATTAAAAACTTATTGCAAAATTTAATTAAATCCGTTAATATAATTTGATATTGACAATAGGTTCTAAAATACAGTAATTAACACCTATTTAATATGAAAAGTGTTAGTTTATTTGTTTGGATTCTACATTTATTAATTTATATAAAAATCAACTTAAAAAATATATATTAGATCTAAAATAACAATATATACTGTATATATAATTTTTTGTGTGTACAGTACAGTATTTAATGCTTTTTTAAAAGGACTTTTTTAGTTTTATTTATTTGATTTAGGTTGTAATTATTTGTAATTTGCTGATGAGAGTATTACAAATAATTATTCTGTTTCCTTATTCCTTTTTTTTAAACTTTTTCCTGTCTATTATAATTTAATTTCTTCTCGTTTAGATGATAGAATATTTTCATGTAAACTGACAGTTAAATTAGATGCAAAGCTTATTTCCACCATTATTTTATATATTTTTATGGAAACATTAGGATTTGCTCTCCAAGAGAATTCTTCTTGTTTGATTTACTTGTAGACTATAATTATTGTTATTGTGATTATTATTAAAAATGAATATTAATATATATAAGGAAGGGATTAAATGTGATAAATGGTGTTTTTACATTGTGTACTTTTTTAAATGACACTACATAAAAACTATTAGCCTTTACTATGTATTCACTCAATGAAATATTATCACAGTAACTACCAATAATACAGATTATTTTAATCACAAATTTCATTTCTATTTGTAATATATGCTATTATAATTTTATTATTATTTTAAATCTGAAATGAAACCTCTTTACAGTTCTAAAATATACATAAATTTGTTTTCATTTGACATTTTAATTTCTGTGAATTTTAAATACTTTAATTAAATACAATGCATATAACTATATAAAGTCATATAAATAAGTTATAGGAAATATTTCTATTAATATACATTCCAAATCTGAACTTACTATTAAACTTATCTTCATAAACTAAATTTTTTCACAATAGCAACTTTGTGCTAATTCTGAAGGACAAACAACTAATTGTGAGAAAAGCAAGCAATAAAATAAATTTATCCATATTTCTTTCCAAAATGATTCTAGTTATAAAAATGTTGGTTTATTTGTTTACCTTTGTATATAGTATTATATCTATTAATTTAAGTTATTTAAAAATGTTGACTATATATATATACACATACATACATATATACATACATATGTATGTGTAGTAAAACAATATATAAGTATTATTTTGTAATACTAAAAATTAAAATCAATATTTAAGTATAGCCGTCCTGAAAACTGTACTCCTGATAACTCAACATTCTGTAAAACTTTTTTTTTAATAACACATCTAACTTTTATCAGTATAACTTAATTCTAGGATCAAATTGTTCTTTTCCGGCGACACTCAATAACAGCATAAATTCCCTTTATCCAAGGTGCTACTGCAAAATAGCACAATGTGAATGTCACTGACATGAAAGTGGCCATCTAAAAGCCAATATTTTTAAATTAAAATATAACTGCAAATAGAAATAATCACTATTGGAACATAGTTAATATGTATATGAATCTGTACATATAATATCTTTATGAAAATTCTGCTGTTTAGACTAGCATTGTCACTACACTGTAAAATTCATGGTTTTTGGTGAATTATCACCTTGAACCACACAGTTGAGTTCCGCAAACTAGACTTAAGTCTAGTTTGTGGGACTCTACTGTACTATTGAAAATAAAGATACATTACCAATAATGCATTGATTTGAAAATCAGGTAGAAATTTTTAACCTAACAATCTTAAATATTTATGTCCATAGATTTGACTTTCTTGTATAAGTTAGAACTAAGACAGATTATTTACAATATTAAAATTAATTAATTTATTATTAAATAGATTCAACTGATAACATTGTTTTTTAGGATTCTATTAAAACGATGAATTTTCTACTCTGACAATAATATAAATTATATATATATATATA